GAATATTCTTGTATAACAAAAACGTTGATTTTTTTTCTATTGAGAATTGTTTCATTCTTTTTGATTTCTGTCGTGTGGGCGTCGAAAACGTTGTTGCAGCGTTCGAGGATCCTTTGCCGCGGTTCTGCCACAAGGAATACGTAATTATGCACGCGCTGCTGTAAATTAGTTTATTACGCCACGGCTGGTAATTTTTATGGAGCAAAGAATGTGGGTCGCGTTAATGAAATTTACACCGAACGCTTAAAAACCTGGCTTCCTGTACACGTGTTTCGTCCAGAGGGTCTGATTAGCGCGCGCCCGCGACACCAACCTAGCGATAAATTATTCCCACGGTTCTCGCGTCTGATTTAAAATTATTGCCCTAGTTTGTTCCGGGATTATGGGACGCAGCATATTACTCTTCCGTAACCCAGTCTCGTATATGTGGCTGGCTAAGCCAGACGATTGTTTAACTCAAATATGCATAGTCTGTCAGATGAATAGCAGAACTGAATTTCCGTGACAGTGGCATGTATAGGACATTATTTTTTATCGATGGTCTTGCGTTTGGGCTATTGGTTTTAAATATTCCAATGAAAATGGACAATAGATTCAAGAGTTATTCACATTTTAGTGTCGGTACTTGGTGGACAAATAAGCCTCATACGATTAATTTCTATACATAAATTGCGTATACGTAACAATCCAACATATCATAAGATAAATACTGCAGTTAAGCGCATTTAATAGAACATTTTACTTATAAAATTTGTCATGTTTTATCAAATAAATCATATTTATTCTTTGCACGAAATTTCAATGCATAGTCTGCAATTAGCTTAATTTATATTTACATTGTACATTTCAAATAAGGCAATACGTATTATACATTGGCAATGTATTGATTATGCCAATACCACCTATTAAAATTCACGTAGATATATTGTAATTGGACCAAATAGAAAATATTAAAATCTGGTCTAAAATTAGGAAAATGATCACACAAATGCATGGAATATTAAAAAAAGTTTACGATGAAAACTGTCTCGAATAAAATACCTATTTTTAGTTTGTATCGTTTACTATCAACTCATTCATCTTCACCGTATCATTATCGATGCTTGCCAGTTTAAGACAGTTCTTATTGATATACAGTATGTAGTATTATTGTGAATTTTATACTTTTACGGTATGATATTTGCAAATATGAAAAATATACTCGAAAGATATGTAAAATATATTGAAATAATAATAGTAATAAGATTTCTAATAAAACTGAACGTGATAAATGCATAAAATCTGCAATCTAGATGTTACAGTACTATCTATGTGCTTTCCTTTTATGATTGAAATCTACTTGTAATAATGTTTAACTCTTCGATACAACGTTTAATACATTTGCAATATATTCTATTTTTAATCTAGTTGTTTACTCTCGTTGCCGTCATTTGTGATTAAATAAATTGATATATTATAGATTAAGAAATAAAATTTAAAGAAAAAGAAAAAATGTTCACTGCATCTAGTTATAAACACGACTGGGACAACTGTAATAATACCCCAGAGATAGTATTGTAATAAATTGTTTGGAGAAATTCATAAGCAAGCTCGTCAGCCGTTAATTTGTCGTCGAGCGGTAACAAATGTATTCTTCGCTATCTCGATCATTTTCACCCGATACGTCTATCGAGACAGTGAAATTCCACAGATCGAGCCACGAGTCGTCATTAATCACGCTTGAATAATGAGTTTTATCTGCAAATAATTAGTATCGACGTATTAGAGCGATGCATCATCCTTAATACAGCTTGTCAACTGCTGGCGTGTGTTACGATAGCGCCACGCTACAATGTGTTGTCGAAGTGCTTGTATCGTTTTCCGTTTAAAATTCTAAGAAACAGCTTAGAGTCTAATCATTTCGTAAACATTAACATTGTTTTAGTCCAGTTTGTATTGCAATATGCAAGGAATAATAAAGGGATAATAATAAATTTGTATAGCCAAATAAACGGATCCTTTAACTTTGGGTACAAAAGTAATTAGAATCATGAATTCGAGCATCGATAAATAAATGCACTAAGAAAGCAAAATATTTTTTCCAGTATGCACTTTTTAATAACAGTGGCAGCAGCTAGTAGGACCTGCCTTAGACTGCAGTTTCTTATGAGGAATAGCACTAGTACAATGCACTAGTGCAATCCAACTTCTTATACGCTTCTTCAATTCTTCTCTGCTCGTTGACATTTCGCCATATATTTGTTATTTAACCCTATAGTGCGCATTAATACACATATTCATCAACCGCATTTTTCTTTGATATTTTATTACACACCAGCATAAACAACAACTAACACCATTGGAAATAATTACTTTTTCGCGCCAAATCTGACAGTTGCTATCAGGATTTTTGCGGATTTGAAGAATTGCTCACTGTAGGGTTAAACTTGCTCCATAAATAAAAATCCATGGTAAATCAGAAGAACTATAGATCATTGTATGCATCTTAAATCGTTCAGAATGTATATAAGAAATTATAACATTTCATTTAAACAAGAGAGCTGATCTTCGTATTTCCTCTACATTTCCATCGATAAAAAGAGTTGTTTATGTATTGTTAATATCAAACGAATCTGTTAGGTCACCTGTTAAATGTCTTTTCTATTAGTGATTATGGCAGAAAGAATTCATTCAAGGTTGTTCCCCTTTCCTGCTGACCTTCTATTGCTCGCTGACGACGAATCGTTCGATTCATCTCTTTGCGAATTCGGCCATTCAGAGGTCCTCACGTAGAAAAGGAATTTAGCGAATCGAAGAGACAGTCGGCTCTGTCTATCGCCAGTAATCCCAATTACAGGAGACTTCCAGCAGATGGGAGTCCAGGATCACTGGTGGGGTCGAAGTTTCGGTTCCTTTGAAAGGATCGCTTCTGCCTCTTCATTCCAACCAGGACGTTTTCTTTTTTTGCAGCCACTTCCCTGTCGGATGTGTACGCTCTCTGGGGCGTCCAGAGAAGCAGGACTCGGATCGAGCGCGTCGCCTACAGGGACAAAGACATTACCAGAGCTGTCTCTCTTAGGAATCGTAGCAGGAAAGACAGATGGAAGGATTTAATTAACTGGATATCTGTCCCCTCGCTCGTAATCTTCGCCGTCAAAGATGTCTGGCTACACGTGCGCCGTCGTGTCGATTGGTCGCTCCATGGAAACGATCCCTAGAATGCAGCAATAATAAACTGTGTCTCTTAACGTTGGGGAAGACAGCTCGTTAACAAGCGTTCGTTCGTCTCGATTTTATGAGGCAAGGTGAAGGTATTTTAATTGGAAAAACATGTGTAAACACGTGTGATATTTAATACCGTTTTGCCATGCAAACGAACAGCATGAAATGTCAGAGCAAGACGCGTTGCTGGAAAGAAACGTCCCGAGCAACTTCGTGTCTTGCAGTAAAAGCGACGAGATCCGAGTTTACGAGCGGTTAGGCAATGATCGGGGCCCAGATGCAGGTAATGTCGCGACAGTCTCTTGAAAGAGTCGGGGCAATTCGTAACTCGAGTAACTCGGAACAGAGAATACGTTAAATTACGAAAAGTACACTTGCTTGCAGTTGCAACTGTATCGCTTTCAACTAGCAATATATTTAGTTAACTTTGTTGGTTAACGTATTTGTCAGTTTTATGCCTCAATAACCAGCGCACATTGGTAGATGGAAATTCGAATGAAACTCTTCTACCAATTGTAATATCAGCGAAGTCAGAAATTCCTCCTGTAGTCTGGTATTCCCAAAGACTACCTGGAGCTTTGCCAGTCTGACTAATTCTACATTCTGGTCCGCGATTCGGACTTATATCTCTCGTTTGCTGAACGACTACCAGTTGATATATCCATGTGTATGAAGCCTTCTATCTCTAAATCTGAATCGTGAAATGGCTGGTCTCAGTACATTGTTCTCAGTAGAATTTTATAATCTCATTGTTACGTACGGAATAGAGGTACTAGAGGTTGAAAAAATTCCAAAAAGTAATTGTTCCAAGATGTTATATAAAAGCTCTCATTGAGAGACAGATTAAAAAGATTATAGCCTATATCGTTTACGATAACGATACTACAGAACCATAATTAGTTCATTGTGTTTCTGTACGTTTCTAAAAATGTATCGATTATAGATAATCTTTAGATCGATGGAGTATTAATATTATATCAACATTGCATCAATTATTACTTCATTTATTAGCAAACTAGAGTACTGCTTGTTTACTTATCATCTTACACAATCTTATTATTATTTGAACGTATAAATAATACATTAACTATGACATCTGAAGTTAATTTATATCTGTGTACGGACAAAATAAATTTCAAATTTCTTCTCTCTTCATAAAGACTCATTTTTGTAGAAAACTGACGCCAAATAAAGTTTTGTTTACGTCAAACAAATAAGTTCGCGTGTAACTGATGACAAAGAGATTACGCAATAGCGGGTTAGCTAAAACCTGACTGAATCTACGAAATACGCCATTGATGTACCTGGCGTCCAGGTATTCAGTTGTGCTTCAAAACGCATCTTTACCAAATTCCAATATTCCTTTCTTATGCTATCCGAAGGGATATCTCTGGAAACAAATTTAAATATATATAAGTTCGTGAAAAACTTTGGCAATACGACAGACCTCCGCGGATAAACTTTGCGCAGCTCCAAGAGAAAGTTGACGAGTTCTTCGCACTTCGTCGTAAGTATTGATCGAACGATCATGGTTTTTCGACGATAAAACTCTCCACATATTGTAAAAAGAAAGATCACTGCAAAATTAAAGCCCAATAGTAATGATAATTACTGTAGAAATCGTAAAAGTAATAGTCTAAGTTCAACTAACTTTGGCGAGAAATCAGAGAAATATTTGATTCTATTGCGAAAGGACATCGTTGTACAGCTGAATACCTATTTTGCACGTTAAATTTAAAATGTACGGTTTTAGTAGAATCGATAATCATTCTAATCAGACATTTTGTTTTATGTTTCAGGTGAGTACCAACTCATTCATATCGAATCGTTATTCCAGGACAAGGTATGTTCTTCGTGTCCTGATCAAGAAAGGCGAGAAAACTAACTTATTATAAAGATGATGAAACATCAGCCCCAGGGTAAGATAAATCTCGTGTCATAAGTATCACCAGTCTCTGAAAAAAATCCCTCCCCCCAAAAAATTCCCCAAATGATCGGTGCATCTGCGGTATAATAGACAAAATTATTTAACCTGGGCTAACCCCTCCCCCCAGAGACATTTTTCATAAAAGCCAATAATAATTACTATTAAGTATCTATAAAATATCACATAATTTCTGTTAGGGGTCTTACGAAGGCTGTGTAGTATTCTGTCAGAACACAGTTCTTTCCAGGACTGAAAGTCCCTTCTTTCTTTCTCCTCCCTACAATACACCCAAAGGAATACGTGGTACTTAACACCGTGAAGTCACGCTTGACTCAGAGGACAGCAAGAAGAGCTCGTAAAAGAGAAACGCGGACATGTACGACACGCGAATAAAAAGCTCCCAATAATGCCATCTGCAACCCCCTTTACGACAGTATATCCGGCACGTTGGATCCTTCGTCTTCACTTTTCCACTTTTTCCACGTCTCCTGGTCCTGTAACCTTCTTGCAACTGTTACTTCTGGTATCCGCTCTTTCTTGTTGCTGATGACTCGCTGCACCATTTAGAGTTTAGAGATTATGGTTGCGCTTCATGATTCGTTTCTTCTGACTATTAGAACACAAATATTTTATTTTTATAACACTACAGCTTCTGGCCGAGATGGTAATGTATGCATGAGAGAACAATCTTTGTTACATCATTGCTCGATAATGGATGAGAATAAACACCTGAATGTTTATTGATTCCTCACTCCATATCTTATTTCAGTAATAATTTAAGGTACATTTTTGCATATTTCAATATGTTTTCTTCTAGCACAATGTATAAATTCAAAAGCAGAATTCTACTATATTATATGATAAGATATTGTGGCGACAACGTGTACAGCAACTATGACCTCGCTGTTATTTTCTCGACACTCTTAAAATTTAACCTTTTAAATCTTTCTTCGTCATTTATGACATCTGGCCTATTCTTTCTATATCCCGACTTTCAACAGTTCGTTTGGTCCTTCTTACTCCTTCGGTTCCCTTTTTCATTCTTTAATCATTCTCTAATCATTCTCTAATTTTCTTCCTTTCTCCATCATCTTAAACGTTTTTAAAAGCCAACCAAAAAACTTCTACAGCAATTGTTTTACCGAACCACCGACCGACAGGGATCTCTGTTACGCGCGCAACTACTACATACAGTGTTCATTTGTTAATAAATTGAGTTAAACCATGTGTGTTTTCGATAAGTACCTCCTCATCGGCAATCGGAAAAGTAGTCTTTACGAAAAGGAACATTTCCAAATTGATAAAAAGATTATATCAATCTAGCTGCTACGAGTATCATCTAAAATAATAACGTGTGCTTCAACAGTGAAACAACATTTCGAAACTCAAAAATATTTACGACATTAAATATGACATATTACAATAGGAAAAGGTTTCACCGTTAAACTCGTCATCTTCGTTTCGGTACAGTCTATTACCTACGACCCAACATATTTGCTTCCCTCCGATTTTGTCACCGACAAGTTTCAATACAACGAGAAGTTCGATAAAGTTCAATCCACTTGCAACCCTGAAATTACTTTGTGTTGAACGAAACTTATCTTTAGAGTTTCTCAATCGATCGCATGGAACGTCCATCTCCAAATATCTAGCAGCGTTAGTTTCTTGGGAGTCTGAAACTCTGCGTTCGTGAAAGTCCATCGTGCGGTCCTTTGAAGGCCACTGGCATGTTCAAATCGCGAGACAATCCATCAAAGCTTGTTGACAGCGGAAACCGCGTCCTTCGAGAGTTCGCTGCTCCTCGCTACCCGAAAAGGGCTGATATTCAAGGGTCGTTCAAACGGTTGAACCTCGACCGTGTCCTCCAAAAGCGAGAGAGGCTAAGAAGAGTGGAACTCTGCTTGGAAACTGGATAGAGGACATCTCGGCTGAAACTTGGCTGAATAAGCTAACGCCATCTCGAGCGATCAAAAGCGTTACTTATAACTTTGCCTATCGCCTTTTATCCAGGTCATTCTCGTCTCTCGAACTTGTCTACTATAGACGACAGAAAAAAATGCTTGCTTGGCTTTAAGGAGGACGTCATCTGATGCCAATAGTTGAAGGTGTAGGGGATTGGTAAGCTTCTTTACTTAGCTTTTCATAGAGCGTCTCGAACCGCGTCAAAGACTGAGGCGATTAGCAAGAGATGTTTAAGTACATAAATCTACTACTTATTCTATGGTTTACCAATATTCATTATATATAAATACTACGGGCTATGTTTTTTTTTCTTGTCTGTTTTATGTCGCATCGACTACAAGGTCATTAGCGACAGAACTATTTGTGATTATTTATATCTTAGAATATATATTGATGTCTTTGAGGAAGTCTACTGTATTTCTGATGTGGTCTTGCACTGTTAGGGCTGAGTCTGCTTTGATTTCGTATTTTTTCCTTTTCTGTTCTATTACATTCGTATAATAGGTGGTTTACTGTTAGACGATGGGTTTGGCAAAAATGACATTTGGGTGGTTCGGTTTTAGTGATGAGGTAGTCGTTGGTGATTTTCGTATGGCCAGTTCTTAGTTATGTTTCTTCATAGCCCACTTTGGACATCTGAATATTATAAACCAACCGTTGTTCGGTAGCATAAGGTTAACTACAATTTTCATGGATTCAGATGAATATGATGCGCGTGATTGAATTAGATAGATAGAAAAGATGATTTTAGTTATCTTTGTGTCATGATAATGAAATATGAAGATTAGCAATCACAAATAATGTCGATAGAGATCTTAAATAGGACCATCGCAATGTCTTCTATACGACGTCTTTTTTGTTTCTATTGTCAGTAATCTTAACATTTGATTATTAACGTGATCAAACTATATAAGCGTGGTATCGTAAGATCTAGTTGGGAACAGAAGAATCCTGCTCGGGGCTGGATAGAGATGACACCTCGGTTGAAACTTGGGTGAACAAGCTAACGCGATCAAACGACCAAAAGCGCTACTTATAACTTTGCTCGACGCGTTTTATCGTGGACCCTCGAACAAGGGACTGGGTCAGAGAACGAAGGATGAAGAGGAAACGGATGCTCGCGGTGAGACCTGTGGCATAGATACTAACGTTGGAAAAGGAAGGCACGCGCGAGAAAGAGTCCCGTCATCCGGAAGCACACCGATGCAACTTCTCACACTTTCCGCTTCCTCTTGTAGCTGTCAGGAAATTACCGGCTGCGAGCAACTTTTGATTCGACTACGACGGCAAAGGGACACGCTCGATCGTGACAACCCCTTTCTATTTCCTCGTTTTCTGATGCTTGGCGCGTTTACACGCGACGCTTTGGCCCCGTTAATCGATCGACCTGGTTACCTGTGAGTTAACTGAAATTCAATTAAAGTAAGTAAAAGAAACCGTCGTATGGGATTAGAGACAATGCATTTATTCTTTAAGAAAATTTAGAAAAAATATTTTTGTTCGCATATGCAAGGTGCCGCGCCTAAAGGACAAATTGACCTGAATCAAATTTTTGTATGCACTCTTTGGAAGATATCGAACAAATAAGGGTATGGGTTTTATAATTCGATTGTTATCTATTTTGTTTTAAAAATTATATAAAAATTGTCTTAAAATTCAATTTTACAGCATTTACTTTAGTATCAAAGCTCACATAAGAATACGTATTTTCAAAATTTTGTCTAGACAATTAATGGTAGTTGATTTTTACATAAATGTCCTATTCTAAAATAAATAATATTTATTAATATTTACTTTTATAGCTTTTTAATAAATGTGCATATACCTATTTATCATGCAATGTGTATACATTCTATTATATTGTTAAACTACCTTTTTTGCAATTTGTGTTTCAAAAGTTATGAACAAAAATTTATATTTATTTTTGAACTTTTCTTCGCACGGTTATTCCTCTGGACTTCAAAGGTATAGGTTAACGTTTGCGTTGTAAGAAATTGTCACCTTTAATTGTAATTGGAACTGTTCGAGGTCGAAAAGAAGGCGAAACAGAAGAATTACATAGAAGCAATCGCGACAAGTGGTAAAGTTATCGTTATTAGCGCGAACGAAACACGATTGAGGAGGTTCGAGATGGTAGCGATAAGTAGGATTACAGTCTTGACTACAGAGACGGGCAACAATATCGGGTTCCGATAATTTAACGTACTGTAAACCAGAGACCGGCAGAATTTTAATCAAATAACGAAGGAAGAATAAAGCTATTGAACAGCAATTTAATCACGACGTTTATAAGAAATTTTGGTTTTAAGAAGTATAATAATTCCGTTGGAAGGTATCCTCGTTGATAAAACATGGTTTCCTAACTTGACACTTTTAAAATAATAATTACTTTGGATGGAATTGGATGGAATAATAATTATTTTCTACAATTCTGTGTATGATATACTGTCATTTCCATACGTATTCTCTCTATGTCTCTGGAAGAAATTTACCTAACTTAAATGATAGGTTTGATCTTTCTAAATAAATGTTTTATTATAAGATTGTATATGAATAAACATTACACATATACATACTTCTAATGAGAAATTTATTCGGAAACATTAAACCTATAATTTAATTTAGGCAAATTTCTTCAATAGATATTGAAGGTACGGATACTTATGAGACTGACTGTATATCAGAACAAAGAATATTGGAAGGACTAATTGTTCTTCAACGAAAAACGGATACAAAGATGTTTATCTCCTGTTCGTCATTTCAAAACTTGTCTCTAAATGAGAATCTCGTCCAAGGGTGCTATTTGTATAAACGCTCGATCAGGGCGATTCTCCTTCTCTCGTGGAGGAATGGGGAGTTCCTTTGGATCTCAACAGGCAAAGTGCGAGTCGCGAACAGGAAGAAGGATGAAGAAAAAAACAATATTCGTCCGATAAAGCGACTTTCCGTAGGGGTAATAAAACGAACACCGTCGCCCGTAAAATACAGCGCTATATTTGTTTGCCGCAAGCACTTTGTATTGTTTACGAGTTGTAGCTCGCGC